AGTTGTTGGGGGGGGGTGTGGGGGGGTGTGGGGGGGTGTGGGTGTGTGTGTGTATCTCTATATTGTGTTTACAAAAAAGCATAAGTAAAAAAACTGGAAGTATGTACACTGAAACATTAACAAAGGCTATTTCTGAATAATGAGAATTTTTTCCTTCTCTTTAGAGTTTTCAATACTTCCCAAATGTTCTATAAAGAATATTTATTAAAAATGAATAATTAATAATTTATTAAAATTAATTTTGGTGGAAAAAACTGTATGTAAAAATGGGGAAAGCCATTATTTCCAGAAACAAGTTCTTAAAAAGACTTAAAAATTTCAAAATTTAAGCAAAATGGAAACACAAAACAATGGTTGCTCTGTAGTATAAAGATGCAAAAACAAAAAAAATTAAAAACTACAATGACCATAACCATATACCTGAAACCTAAGTTAACAAATATTTCTAATTCAATCCACTGTTACACTAAGTTAATTAGCAAAGAATTAAACTTTACAAGCCCTAAAAATTGAAGTGGAGGATACAGACTCAATGTTGTCACCAGGTATTATTTCCACTTGTTAATTATTTATAATCAGATCTTCAAAAGGTAGGTTCAAGGCCAATTCTACACAGACAGATTAAATGGAAAAGCAGTAACTTGACAAGTGACACTCACTAAGATGAGTACAATAAAAGAAAGAAAGTGGAGAAACTGGAACCCTCATACATTGCTGATGGGAATGTAAAATGGTACAGCATCTTTGGAAAACAGTTTTCGCAGTTCCTCAAAAGATTAAACACAGAGTTACCATGTGACTCTGCAATTCCACTCCTAGGTACATACCCAAGAGAATAAAAACATATCCACACAAAAACTAGTACACAAATGTTCATGGCAGAATTCTTAGTAGCCAAAAAGTGGAAATAACTCAATGTCCATCAACTGATGAATGGATAAACAAAATGTGGCATACTCATACAAAGAAATGTTATTCGGTAATAAAAAGAAGTACAGGGGCCGGCCTGGTGGTATAGTGGTTAAGTTCGCACACTCTGCTTTGGCGGCCTGGGGTTCACAGGTTCAAATCCTGGGCGCAGGTTTAATCCTACACACTGCTCATCAAGCTGTGCTGTGGTGGCATCCCATATACAAAAAATAGAGGAAGATGGGCATGGATGTTAGCTCAGAGCCAATCTTCCTCAGCAAAAAGAGGAAGATTGGCAATAGACCTTGGCTCAGGGCCAGTCTTCCTCACCAAAAAGAAAAAAAAGAAAAAAGAAATCAAGTATAGATACGTGCTACACTATGTATGACCCTTAAAATATTATACTAAGTGAAAGAGGCCAGTCATAAAGGAACCACATATTGTATGATTCCATTTATGCCCAGAGAGTAGACTAGTCATTGTATAGGGTTTGGGTGGAGGGATGACTGTTAATGAGGATTTCTTTTAGGGAGGATGAGCATGTACTGAAATTATATTGTGGTAATAGTTGCACAACCCTGTGATATACTAAAAAAAATTGTACACTTTAAATGGGGGAACTGTATGGTATCTGAAATCTATCTCAATAAAATTATTTTTTACAAAGCTGAGAAAGAAAGCTCAAACAGAAGGGAATCAAGGAATAGAGCAACAGAAACTAATGAAAGAGTGGATGCAGCTATGTTCTAAAGCAAACTATGGTCCATGGGCCAAATCTAGTCCATTGCCTATTTCTGTAAATAAAAGTTTCTGGAACATAGCCATCTTTGTTCATTTCACTTGTCTAGGACTGTTTTTGTACAACAACAGCAGAGTTGAGTAGTTGCAATAGAGACCATATGCCCCACAAAGCTAAGATATTTATGATCTGAACTTTTACAGAAAGAGTTTGCAGACACCGCCTCTAGAGGAAAATCCTGCCAGACTAGAGCAATAAACTGGTGTATAAAAAAAAAATCCTTTCTAGAATGAGTTGAAGCATAAAATTGAAATACAAACCCTCCAGATCTCAGAACCTAGTCTCCAAACTATTATTTGTTAAAATCTTTTTCTACCTGGATAACCTACCCAAAATTCTAAGAAGTTGGAAGATGAGGAACTTCAAACTACTGGTGTTTACTACTAGAAAAGCAGAAGAGAAGGACGTAGTTTGGTAAGGCTAAGCAACTTGGCCCATGAGAAATCCCAACATTGGAAAAGGCCTTTAGGGTACATACTTCACATTGGTGTTGGTACAGATGATGTACTCAATTTCATCTGAGTAAGGGTTCTGGAAAGTAAAGGAGCTGGTTCTCATCCAGAGCCACTCACGGTTCTTAGACCGGAACCGGAACATGACAGACAGCACCTGGCCTTTTAACTTCACCACCTGAAAAAGTTTTCATGCTGTCAATGAAACCCATAAGAAATTTTCTTTAGAAAAGTTTTGTTTCAATTTCCCATTTCTACAACCCTAAGATTCTTGTGTCACTCTCCTTGAAGTACCAGTCTCTTTCTATGTTACCAACCAAAGCATGATGAGGAGTGAAAACTAAGTGACTAACGAGGAGGTATATTTATCATGTTTCTTCCCAGAGTCCCAAGCTATCTGACGACTCTAGTCAAAGTCAAAAAGGAGTAACAATTATTTCCAGGAGAGAAAAAACTATGTTTCTCCACTTCCCTTGGAAAGCTCCTTAAAGATATGCTGATCTAGCTTTACAAGTCTATACTAGAAATTTGTATGTTTAATGACACCGAATATAACTTACACATTGCTCCTTAATCCTAGCTTTTTCCCCCAACCTGAGAATTTGTTTTCACAGCACCTGTGGAGGTTTCTATGAATAAAACTAAGGTGGCTTTAGTCTTGTTTTGCTTTTGTTTTTTAAAAGAAAGTAATTTTAGATTATTTTAGTTAGTAGTCTCATGGAATAGAAAATAATCTTTTGTCCTTCCCTCTCTAACAATAAAAAAATAATAATATTAGCAACTAACATTTATTTTGTAGTTATATGTCAAGCACTAGGCTATGTGCTTTTTCTTTTTTTAAAGAACATCAACATTTATTTAATATGATAAAAAAGAAATGAGATGTGAATATCTGCATTTAAACAATAGTAAGTAGCCTTTAATACTTACACATGCTCTGTATAATATGTACACAATAAACATAATTACAGTTGTACACAAACTAAGTACTGGATTTGAAAACCTGCTTATTGCTGTACATATATATTCCACTGAAGTATAAGCCCAGTACTTCAAAATACCTACACTTTAAATTGTTTTTTAAGAAAAAGTAAGTGATAACACTTATGTTTTAAGCTGACAAGAGTGTGGCAGTAACTAACTGTTGACATAACAATATGACTGAGAAATAATTATAGCAGAAAATGGGACATACTTCATTTAACAATAAAATGGCATATTTTAGATATAGATATAAAACTTTTACAAATCAAGTGTGAAACAAAGCACTGCAGTACCAAAATGGAAGGAAAAAAGGAAAACAAGCTTTGTTCGAAATAACTAAATTTATGTAATGAAAAGCAAAAAAAAAAAAAAAAACCCATCTAGACTTAAGAAACATCAAAATCTAGAAATCAGCAATTAAGCAAGCAGCTGTTGACTGCACATTAAAAAGCACCTTTACTTATGTACTCTAAAATCATAGCAGCAGGGCTGGCCTGTGGCGCAAGTGGTTAAGTGCACACGCTCTGCTTCGGTGGCCCGGGGTTCACAGGTTTGGATCCCGGGTGCACACCAACGCACTGCTTGTCAAGCCATGCTGTGGCGGCATCCCATATAAAGTGGAGGAAGATGGGCACGGATGTTAGCTCAGCACCAATCTTCCTCAGCAAAAAACAGGAGGGTTGGCATTGAATGTTAGCACAGGGCTGATCTTCCTCACAAAAAAATTAAATAAATAAATAAATTTAAAAAGTACAATTTAGCAATTATATAAAAATTTTAAAAATAAAAATAAAAAATAAAATTATAGCAACTGACGTCAGAATAATAACCTTGAGATTAGAGTGTATATATGGGCCATTAAAGCTGTTCTCAAATAGACATTTTCCAGAAGTGATAAAATGATACTTTGGACAAAAGCATCAGGCTTATGAATTTCATGACTTTAAAATATACTGTACAATATCTTCTCACACTGCCAAAGGTCCACGTCCTTAGCTTTGAACGGTTTCAACAGAAGTCAGAACAGTTTTTCTGACACTACACATACACGAAATGTGATCCTTCTGTGAACTACAGCTGAGTGGATGGAATTGGTGATGCTGAGGACTTAGAATACAGAGAGAGACTTTTCACTGCCATTGTCTGATTTCCTCTACAAGTTGAGTTATGTGCTTTAAATGCATTACCTTATTTAATCTTCCCAACAACCTTCTGAAGTACTATTATTATACCCATTGTATCAGTAAGGATACCTCTGAGGCTTAAAGAGGAAAATTAACTAGTCTAATATAAAGTAAGAACTGCTACCTAAAGCCAAGTCTGTCCTGAAATTAAATTCACCCGATATTTTCAGGATTTAGGGCCTGAAAATTACAATTAAGAGTCAACTCTCACTTATCTATAAAAGAACTGTGAAGTGAATTTTTCTACTACTATCCACAATTCAGTGAAACCTAGAATATTTTAAATACTTTAAAGACAGCTCCTTAGATACAGCTAGTCGGATACAAGACAGTGAGTAGCCAAAGCCAAACAAAAATACCATGGACATTATCCATAGTTTCAAAGCATTTTCTGTTCCTTAAAAATACAGGTTAAGTACTAAAGAATGTAAAATGTAATGCCTGCCACAGTACTTGATTAATCAGTGGTCAATAAATAGTTGTGGAATGAATGTGATAAGAGATATTACATAAAAATATTATTTTGACCCAAACTAGGAAAAAAAGTTACCTGTTGGAAGCTGTCTCTTAGAAGCTGCTGGTCTTCAGGATGACAGAATTCTACAATATTCTTTCCTAAGAGTTCCTAAAAGAGAAAAAGAAGAGTAAGATTGACTCTTATGATCATCTAACTTTCCTGGCCTATCAGCAAGGGGACTCAGATTTTATTTCTCCTCTCTTTATCCTAGGATTATAGATAAGTGTGGAGGAAGGCAAAAAAAAAAAAAGGACAAAAAAAGAAGATAGAATCTGCTAAGCAACTGGCCTCTAGAGCATTTTTCCTTTTCAGAATATCATACATTTATTTTAACTGCATTTATTTAGATTTGAGGTATAATTTACATATATATAATTCACTCATTTTAAGTGTACAATTTGATGATCTATATTAAATTTAGACAGTTGCGCAACTATTACCACAATCCAGTTTTAGAATATGTCCACTGCCCTGCAAAGTTCCCTTGTGCCTGTTTGTAGTCAATCCCTGCTCACAAACCCCTAGCCAACCACTGATCTGCTTTCTGCTTCTTTAGTTTTGCCTTTTTTAGAAATTTCACATAAATGGAATCATACAACGTGTAGTCTTTTGGACCTGTCTTCCTTCATTTAACTTAATATTCTTGAAGTTCATCTATGTTGTTGCATGTATCAATAGTATATGCCTTTTTATTGCTCAGCAGTATTCTAACATGAATATACCAGTTTGTGTAACCATTCACTACTTAGTGGACATTTAGACTACTTCCACTTTTTGGCTATTATGAGTAATACAGCTATGAACATTTGTATATAAATCTCTGAGTGAACATATGTTTTCATTTCTCTTGGATAAATACCTAGGAGTGGAATTGCTAGGCTGCAGGGTAAGTTATATTTAACTTTTTAGGAAACTGCCAAAATGTTTTTCTTAAGTGGCTATACCATTTTACATCTGCCAACAACGTATGAAGGTTTCTGTTTCTCCACATTCTCACTAACACTTTTTGATTATAGCCATTCTAGTGGGCACACATTGGTACCTCATTGTGGTTTTAATTTGCACTTTCCTAATGACTAATAATGATCAGCATCTTTTTATATGCCATTCATATTTCTTCTTTGGTGAAATGTCTATTCAAATCTTGTGCCCCTTTTTATTGGCTGTTTGTCTTAATGAGTTGTGAGAGTTCTTTATATATTCTGGATACAAATTCTTTTTCAGATATACGATTTGCAAATATTTTCTCCTACTCTGTGGCTGGTCTTTTCACTTTGTTAATGATGTCCTTTTAAGAGGGCAAATTTTGATGCAATACAATTTATCATTTTTTTCTTTTGTAAATCATGCTTTTAGTGTCATATAAGAAACCTTTGTCTAACTCAAGATGACAAAGATTTTCTAGAAGCTTTATAACTATAGCTTTTACATATTTACGTCTTTAAGTTGATTTTTATGTATGGTGTGAGGTAAGAGTCTAAGTTCTTTTTTTTTTTTTGCATACGCATATCCAATTTTTCCATCACCATTTGTTGGAAAGACTTCTTTTCCCCCTTGAATTATCTTGGCATCTTTGTTGAAAGTCAATTGACCATAAATGTGAGAACAGACTCTATTCTGGTCTATTGACCATATATCTATCCTTACACCAATACCACAATGTCTTGATTAACACCAGCTTTATAATAGGTATTGAATCAGGTACTATAAATCCTCTAACTTTGTTCTTCTTTTTCAAGACCTGTTTTTCACCAACCACTTCACACAGCCAGAGCCAGAAGTCCCTCCTGGCCGCGATAGTTTTGAAAGTTTATATAATGACTTATTTCTCAACTTGGGTATAGTTACCCAGTCTGCTGAATGAGAAATCTAAATAAAATCATAATAACTGGCGCTAAATTTGTATATTTTGTGGGTTACTATGCATCTAGGTGATTACACAAATTATCTACATGTGGCCATACTATTAAAACTAATTAAAGTGAGCATTTTTGCATCATTATCTGTATTAATATCAATAACAAAAATAAATACATATTTGTACTTGCTGCTCCCACCTGGTTTCACAAGCCAGATTTTTTTCTAGATCAGATGATAACCTTGGTAGGAAGCTGAGAATAAATTTAGCTATTGAGAGAATAAGATCATCTCTTTCTCTGAGCTGAGGCTGATATGTTTGGCTATCTCTGGAATTACCTGATTAAATAATCTCAGCAGAGCCAGGCAAAACAGAGGCCTAAGTATCAGTGGTGTAACAGTTCCAGCTCCTCACCTGTGGTTGGTAGCCAACAGTAGCCACACAGCGGTGATCCACAAAAGTGAAGATTCCCTCAATGTTGTGTCGAGAGATGAACTCTGTTGGTTGACAAACATTACCCATGTCTGTACAGTTGGGAGAACTAGTCACCTGAAAGAAAAGAGATAAAAACGAGATAAAATGACACCATTCTTTACAGATGTATTTCCCATTTCCTCATGGTCATGTATACGAGGCTCCCACTTTTAGGAAGTTCTAAACTTTCACATGTCATCCAGAAAAGAAAAAATTACAATCACAATCAGAGAAGGCATGAGATCACGCTGTCCTCCTACTTATGTTCTCTTTACCAACTTTGTAAAGAAAGATGAAAATTCATTAAACCCAAACCCACCTACTTTCATTTCGCTACACAGTGTTCACTATTCAGATTGGAAAATTATAGTCCCAAGAAACGAAGAAACTTATCTATTTTTACGAGAAAAATCAAAATAATTTCACTTCTCTATTGTTAGTCATATAATGATAAAATGAAAAAATCTTTCTTCTCTTGAATAGGAGCAAAAGAAATTAGTTGGAAATAGAAAATTCAGCACCGTAAAGCTAAAAATATGAAAGATAAGCAGAAAAGATCTCCCTCCCTCCCTCTCTCATCGTCTTTGGCTTCTGCTAAATCCAAGAGAAGCAATGTTAACTATGAATGCCATATTCCTCCAAATATTTGGAGTTTTATAGAATTCTTCATTTGTATTCAGAGAACAAAAGAAAAATAACATGAACAAGTCCTGAAGATTTCTTTTCATTGAAAAGGGATGATATAGATGTGGAAAATTCATACTTGCCTGCAGTCTGCCAATGGCCACTAGGCAAAACTTGCTCCCCTGGCCAGCTTCCGGGTCATCATCTGGAAGGGAGACACCTTCAGAGAAGTGAAGTTAAAAGGTTTAATAGGGATCTCAAACTGAATTGCCTTCAAAAATCAGATAGGTAAAGATAATACATGTAGGTATGAAAAGGCTAGGTATAAAATAATAGAGTGTGCTGAAAGATAAGAATAAAGGTAAACAACTATACAGAATTTACCATATATGCCAGGTACTGTTTAAAGTATTTTTATATATATTAATTCATATATTTTACCCATATTAATTGTGATAAACTGCAAAGTACAGGTCCCACCCAAAGTATTCTAAAAAACCATGCTGGCCAAACCAAACACACATGAAGATAGCCATTCATTCTGTGACTATATCATAGGCAGAGAACAGATGTCTTGCCCAAGCTGTGACTTTTAAAGTAAGCAAACAACCAATAATTAAATTAAACCAAATACCAATAGTTATTTATGTCCTTTGGAAAAGACAGAAGCCCATGTTTCAATGTTTTATGTGGAAAGGGAAGAAGACTGCATTTTCTCTCTACTCTTTGCATAGTTACTTTCTTTTTACCAAGAAAAATAGTATTTCTTTGAGAGCTATACAGAAGTATGAAAGAACATGTATACCTCAAATGTATGGTTTATAAAGTATATAAACTAAAAAGTGCTAATGTCATTACTGCTTAAAATTAACACGATAAATGTTAGCTAACCTTCTTGGACTCTGTGAGGAATCTGCTACACCAAGGGAGAAATCACTATCCAACTTTCCTACCTGCTGGGGGCCAGGCTTTGATGTAGCCTGTGCAGTGGACCACCACGAAGTGAGGTTCTCCATCCTTCACAGAGCCAAGTCCATTCCTAGAAGAATTACAGGTGTGAGGAGAAAACCTACCCAGTAACACTTAAAAGGCAATGCTGGCTTAGTACCTTTAACTTTAGGCTCTTGGGTATTTATTTATTTGGTGAGGAAGATCGGCCCTGAGCTAACATCTGCCAATCCTCCTCTTTTTGCTGAGGAAGACTGTCCCTGGGCTAACATCCATGCCCATCTTCTTCCACTTTATATGGGACGCCGCCACAGCATGGCTTGCCAAGCGGTGCATCGGTGCGCACGCGCAATCCGAACCGGTGAGCCATCTCAACGGGGCGCGCGCACTTAACCTCTTGCGCCACCGGCCCGGCCCCTCCTGGGTGTTTAGAAAACAGGACAACTACACTTGGGCCATTCCCACCCAAAAGTGACCACCATATTTTTGACCCTTGCCAAAGTAAAGCAACTGAAAGGTACTGCAACAGGAAGCAAGTACGTCAAGTGATAGGGCAACTTCCTTAAACAGGATGAGCGAAAGAAGCTTTAGAAATTCAGGAAAACACTGCCAGAAACAAAAGTAACTGATAAGTGAGGGATGACGGCAAGGGTTGCTAAAGGAAGTACTACAGTAAAATAGTTGAAAAAGTGATGATCTCTACAGGAACTTGGCCATCTCTTGGTTTTTCACTGCTTAGCATCTCACCTGCATCTGTTCCTCACAAAGCTCAGTCTGTTCGTGGAGACTGGGTCCACAGAGCTATTGCCACACCTGTTTCAATGAACAGAGATTAAAAGCAATTAAGTTGTAATATCAAAGAACTTTTCATCCGCTAACAGCCAGATAACAGACTCTGGATACAACTAGACACAGGAAATTGGTAACAATGCTCCTAACAAGGAGGGATAAAGAAGTCAAGTTTGGTATTTCTAAAACTTATAACTGTCCTAGAATTTGAAGTCAAGATGTTCCAAATGTCCTTCAAATGCAGAGATTCTCTACATCAGGGGTCAGTATGCTTTTTCTGTAAAGGACCAGATGGTAAATATTTTCAGCTTTGTGGGCCATACAATCTGTTGCAACTAGTCACCTCTGCCATTATAGCATAAAGCAGCCACAGACAATATGTAAACAAATGGGGATGACTATGTTTCAATAAAGCTTTATTTACAAAATAAAAAAAAATTTAAAAATAAAGAGTTGTGGTTTGCTGACTCCAGC